GTATTTATGAGACAGTGACATATCTGTAAAAATAGTATTTGTGTGGGTATGAAAAGTAGGATATTAGACAGCCCACAAAATGCTGAGACGTTGCGTGTTTAGGTGCATGGTTTAGTTTGGTCAAGATATAGCATTTAAACAAACATCCTGTGCTGTATAATAATCTTAGATTAAGGTCTATTCTGTGGATTTTTTCCTTCTGGTTAATAGCCGATTCTGTTTTCCTTCCTGACTCTGACTCCAAGTCAACTTTGTAGTTTCCAATGTCACACTAAATAGACATAATAAAGATAATGGACACTGAGGACTGGTAAAAAGCACACAACGGATCCATAAATACAAAAAATATCAGGATGGAGATATTTGGAGGAGACCTAGAAGTACGAACAGGCAGTTTATTCTCTGTAGCTTGCCATTTCATGAAAACAATAGTCACCCATTCGGAGTGAATCAAAAAGAAACCCAATAAATAACACATAGAGCAGAAGATTTAAAAAAGTTGTTACGTGAACCATTCATCCATCCATCCCTCCCTACTTGTTCTCCTTCTTGCTTGAATTAGATGCAGAAGATGACACTAATTATGTATCAGAAATATGACTGAAAATAAACAGAAACTTAGAATAATTTTATTAACAAAGCAAAAACATGGCCAGATAAAACGAGAATACCAAAAAAGCATATCAAAACCATAAAAAAAATATGATTCATAAGATCACCAAATATTCTGAAATACATGGAACAAGATACAGTCATTCTAATGCACACACAAATATATTTGTGTCTGGGAGGCTGGCGATTTATTAAATAGTAAACAATCATTCCAACCACTAAAAAAAGTAAACATGCTCAGATGGCGACGTCATCCGCTGTAAGTAATCTTAATAACCAAATCAACACAGACGACATTTTTACCTGCACAAATGAAGGAGCCCTGAAAAAGTATGCTAGATAATTTTAATTCAATTTGGACCTTACAGTAATAGGGGGAATGTAAATAATCTTTAATATCTCTGAAACAACAGCAGCACATATGGAAGAGCGTCTTCTTTAACATAGCATTCAGCTGAGATGGAGTTGCCTTTATTAATGAAGGTTAACCTACATAGACAAAGCGGCAGAGGTTTGCACTAGATAAATAACCTGTGAAGCGAGGTCAGAGCTTAAATGCATGCTGGGAGATTTAGTTACAGTCTACCTCTATGCAGTTAGACTAAACAGAGGAAAAATTCTGATATAAAGTGTGAAAAGTTATTTATATATATATATATATATATAAACTATAATGGATGTTTAAGTTGATAGATGTGTGTTAGTACTGCATAGAGAAGAGTAATATAACAACGCACAGTACAGAGAAATATAACAATGCCAAAATTTGCTATTCGCGCCTTGTGCAAAAATTCTTTTCAGGCTCATAAAGGACTAAATAGATGGGACGGTTGGTTTTATTGCTTTGCTTGGAAATTTTTTTTTTTTTTTTTTAAGATTAATACGTCTTTTTTGTTGGGTTTATACTGTAAATTATATGACCAGGCGACTTTCCCAAATTTTATGACTAAATAAACATAAGTACACTTCTGCTAAATTTTACGCTCAGACAAGTGTTTTTCTCTTAAGCTGAACTGCTCATTGCATCAATCTAGGACAAATGTTTCGTGTAAATAAGATTTATCTGTTGTAAACATTAGAAACAGATTGTACAGCTGAAGCAACCAGACTGCTGGATGATTTCCACAGATTCAAGGTTCAGGGTTACTTTATTTGTGCCTAAAGATTCAAAATATACCTACACACACACACACACACTGGAGAAAAAGAAAAAGAAAAATCTTAATACATCAACATGCTAAAAACCCAGCAAAGGAAATATCAGGACACAAAAAAAAAACTACATGCAGAGTTTCCTAAGGGCTCATCCTGAGGCCCCTCTTATTTAATATCTACTACACATTTTGCCTGGATTACAATTAAATAGAGAAAAAGATACCATAACTAAGCGGATGACACAGCTTAACATTGCTACATGGCGATTGCACGGTCCATGCCAGGAGACAGCTCTGGCATTTCCTTTAGAAACTTAAAAAGTTATGATTTTGTCTAAAAGGCTTCCTGAATATTTCTTTAAAGACTTGGTAATCTGTCTTTGTAAACTCAAAACTTTGAGGGAAGTAATTAATATATATCCAACAATATCTACTAAATTCATCTTTTCATTATTTTGGCATTTAGCAAATAATTTCATAATCCTAAAACTGTTTTAAAAAATCCTCCAATTAAATGCCAGAGAGTGAGTGAAAAATAATGTGTAAGTGTGTGTTTAGGTTTTAAACAAATTAAAATAATTAAACAATAATAAAAAAAAAAAAACAATGGAGAAAAAGACACCACTGAAAAATAAAAATCTTTGTTCAAAAGGAGTATTAAGAAGACAATGTTTAATATGTTAAGTGACCATACAGTTTGTTAATCTGTTTTCAACTTTAAATAAATAATAAATAAGAAATAATGGATACACAACTTTAGAAAGACAGTGAAATCAGAACAATTTTATACTGAAATAAAAAGATGAGAAGCAGGCTGTACGATATGACTTCTCTATTTATCCCTACAGGGAATTCCTTAAATTTCATTGTTTTTAGGAATTTGGAAAATATTACAAAGAAATAAATTCAATAATTATCAAATTCTGGACGTTACAAGAAAAGAAATCACTGCTGTCAAACTTTAGAAAAAGATTCGCTCTCATTTTTAAGGTTATACAGCCCTTTAGACACCATGGGGACATGTTTGGTTAATGATTTTCTTTTTGTTTTGCTAAATGCCTTTGACCAATGAAATTCCAGGAATCAGATAGACGCCTCCCTGTGGGATATTTAAAAAAAAAATGACAATAGCCAGATCAGATGACTGCATAATACCAACAGTGAGGTTCAGTGAAGTATCACCGTCCGGGTATATTTTCACCTCTGATTCTAAAATGTATTGGTGCTTCTTGTTGGGTCTTGCTCTGGTTGTTGTGTCTCCCTTAAATGGAAGCGTCCTGGAGCTACAGCAAAACGCTTGTCCCAATTTCTGGTACAGCTTCAAAGGCCGCTGCTACAAGTATGTTGGTAGACAAATGACCTGGGCAGATGCTGAGCTCCACTGCTTATCAGAGGGGGGCAACCTGGTGTCCATCCACAGTCTGGAAGAACACAACTTTGTCAATTTCATGATCAAGAGCTTTGATCCTTCTCAGACCTTCACCTGGATTGGACTCTCTGATATTCACAAGGAAGGATCCTGGATGTGGTCGGATGGGTCTAAGGTGGACTTTCGTTATTGGGATGCAGGACAACCAGATAATGCAGGTGGAAATGAACACTGCGGACACACCAACATGTTCACGTTTCATAAATGGAACGATTATGTCTGCTCCAATACATACGCTTTTGTCTGTGCAAAAGAAAAAGATTGTAAGTAGCAGCAAAGAGAAACCTTTGATTCTATTGTACGACTTAAACCTGTTCTGAAGTCATGAAATATGAGTAAAAAATTGAAGATTGTGTAAGATTTTTGTGAATTGTTTTGGCGATAAAAAATAAAATGTTATAGCAAAATGTTTGCCCAATTTTCTGTGATGCAAGATATTCTAAGAAATGGCTCTGTCTGCAAAATGGAACTGAAAAGTATAACCTGAGATGTTTTAATTGGTTCATGTCATTTTTAGGGTATACTTCAGTGTTCAGAGTTTTCAAAGCAGTAATGGTACTGGTACTAAGACATGCTAAGGAATATGAGTTTATACTATATATATATATACAACTCATAATTCTGATATAATTATATTATGAATTTTATTATATATTTATTTATATATATATATTTCAATATATATGGATGGCGTTGCATATGGTAGATAGAGACCCAAAATTCACAATTATAATTATATATATATATATATATATATATATATAATTACTACCATATGCATATTGTACTACCATATGCAACGCCATCCGAAGCCACTGTCGCCCCCCCAAAGTACAGTATATCAGGGACCACACAGCTGCCCTCTCTGGCACCTACCACTGTGTTATACTGGTTGATCTAATATTTTGTATACTAAGGTGAAATGAACGGGTTACAGAACAAAGATTTTAAGTAAAAAGGAAAAAGAGATGGGCGAAACAGAAAGCGTGTGTGCCAAGTGGACAAAATAAACCAACTTATAACATCAAAGATTATGAAACTTATTATATAGGCAAATACATTTTGAAATGTAATTAAATAACTGTAAATGTATCATGAAATAAAGAAATATATATATAAATTGTATGGTTCTCACAATAGTTTTATTACATGTTAGTGCTCTTAAACAAATTCTTGATTAAAAGTAAGCAAAAATCTAGCCCTTTATTTTTTTAATTATTATTTGTTAGCATTTTTTTTTATCTATTTTTTTATATATTTGATTGCACCCATTTTTGCATTTTTTTTACTCTTTGTTTTTAGCCTTTCTGTTTGTAAATTGATCCGTTTCTTTTGTGTACGTTTGTATTAATAATAAAAAGAAAAAGAAAAGGGGGAAAACACGAATGTGTATGGAATCAGACAGGCGGGGTTTGTGGGAAATCCATCCAATCAGAGGAGAGGATCCTGCAGCAGCTTTTGTGCTGAAACTTCTCTGCCACGTAGAGAAGAAGCAGGCTGCTGCAGCTGCTTTTATGTCTGCTGATGATCTGCGTGTTTCTGCTAACATCTCCCTGAAGCTGAGTGTGACAGCATGTTCATGGTCGTGTTGAGCCTGATCGGCTCTGTCATGCTGGCATCCGTCTGCATCGGGAAGCTTCCTGAACCTGAGGTGAACATAGAGGTTCTGCACAGACCCTTCATCTGTCACCGAAAGTCCAAATACGGAGATATGCTGCTGGTGCATCACGATGGGTACTTTGAGAACGGAACGATATTTTACTCCAGGTACATGTTTACTGACTCACTAATGATTCCTTAAATTTCAAACAATTTGTAAAAAAAAAGCTCTTGATGTTTTCCTAATTAATCATCCGCCGCTGCTTCAACATGTTCTGTGAACTAGAACAGTGTTATTATCCATTAAGTAACAATAAATGATGTTATTTCTTCACATAAACTGACCATCTGTTGATCAACTTGTTTGTGAGAATTAGTTGTCATCATATGCAGGGGACCAGGGACCTTAGAGTCATGGTTTGGTTTTGTTTCATTGGTGTTCAGTTTTCATTGATTTTATTTTGATTCTTGTGTGCTAGGTATTTTTGATTGTATTTGAGTTCTTGGATATTTTCCGTTAGCCCTCTTGCCAGTCTCCTTTTCCCTAGCTCCCTTCTGTTCACACCTGCTCCCAATCTACAAATTTTTTCTCAAACACATTCCCAATGAGCTGTCAATGAGCAAGAGGCAGGTTACACCCTGGACAGGTCACAAGTCGCAGGGCAACACAGAGATTTTTTTTTATCAACCTAACAGTCATGTTTTTGGACTGTGGGAGGAAGCCAGAGTACCCAGAGAGAACCCAAGCATGCTCAGGGAGAACATGCAAACTCCATGCAGAAAGACCCTGGGCCGGGAATCAAACCCAGAACCTTCTTCCTGCAAGACAGCAGTGCTACCCACTGCTCCACTGAGCAGCCCCTCTTTGTTTCTCTCTCCCATATGAATCTCCTCCTGTTCAGTCACTCTTTGCTGGTTTGTCGCCATCACATTGTACCCTTCTTGTTGTGAGTATTCTTGGTTTTGAGCTTTTTTTTTTTTTTTTGTGGAATTATATTTTTGGATTTTTGCTTCTGTTCAACTTTTGTCATTAAAACATTCAAGTAACCACCTCAAGCTTTTGTCTGCATTTGGGTCCTGTCAAACCTCCAGATGGAACTTTTTTAATAAAAACTTAATAAATAATCATTTTATGTAGATATTAGTACTTGTAAATATCAGTTTTATACAGAATGATTATTGATACGAGTAGGTAAGTAATGACGATTGAAAAGATGTTTGCCCCAGAACTCAAACCTGAAAGAATTTTATCCTTTTTATCTAGAAAGCACAGATGTTTGAATATAGGCATCTATTTGTTTGGAAAGGCTGTAGGAAAGGATAGTTTGTCTTTATTTAGAAAATATGGATGTTTTGCTCGTTAATTTTGCTGTTGAAACAGTTTAGATTGACCGTGAGGTTCTGGCACTGATCCACTACCTGCCACCCCTCAGTGTACACTGGGTAGTGCCTGGTCCCCCTTATAAAAAGGTTCTGGCTACACCTCTGATTATATGATCCTAGTTACTGTGTTTACCCCCCATAGAGAAAGCGTTGATATATATGCTCATAAATACACTTTAAATCTAGGCTTAAGATTACTTTAATAATTCAGACATTCCAGTGAAAGCTTCTTCTACTGCTGTATGAATAGTGCTGTACTCCCTCCAGCCACTTGTTGCTGCACACAACCAGGAACGCTGTAATCTAATTATTTCCAAAAGGTATATTAGTTTCAGTAATTATTTAAATCTACTGCAAAGTTTTTTTGTGTTTTTTAATTAAATAGGTGCATGAAAATCAAAATGATGAATGTTGTAGACTTTATTAGTAAGCCTGTTTGTTTGGTTTGGTGGAAGTTAGTTGAGGACCCAAATACAGAGATGAGGAGGCAGAGCTGAGTTCTTGCAGATTTAACTAAGATGCAGAAGGCAACAGAATTACAAATCCTGAAACAATAAACAGGAACCAGGAGACGCCAGTGAGAAACACACATGCGGATAGAAGCAATGAAGAGAACCCAGCAATGAGGGACTGCACAGAAACTGTATATATGGGAGACTGAAGACAGACTGGGCTAATCAGCTGATAGGGAGCAGGGGTGGATAGAAGTAACTAGAAGGGAGCTAGAGGAAAGGAGACTGGCACAAGGGGGCAACAGAGAAAAACTGAAAAAATACAACACTGTTTAAAACACAACAAAACAGAGTGACATAAATCAAAGTGAAATTGAAAACTCAAAAAGAAACTCAAACAGAAGTCCACAAAGGGCAGAATCATGACAGTATTGTTTTATTAGTAAAAATTTCTCTTAAATCTTAAATTGAAAAGTATCTTGTTATTGTTCTTTCAATTTATTATGGTATTCTTGTATTAACACAAAAATTATTGTTTTTTTTTTGTTTTGTTTTGTTATTTATCATCTCTATCTTGTGAGAATATATATGAATCCCCAATGCCTGGGTCCTGACTCGGTAAACAGAATCATCCCTAAGGAAGACAAATTATCCTGATAAACCAGAGATCGTGCCTGACACTTAAAACAGCTATATGTGCTTCGTGGAACCTGGTTAGGATTGTGGAATAAAATCTTTGAATATAAAAGCCGAAGAGGGCATAGCAGTATTGTTTTATACATTTATAGCTGAATTTTCCCCCAAAAAAAGTATTGTTGGCCAACCGTATATAACTGGTGCTAAGCAGGTAATTTCAAACAGGTTATTTTGATACATTAGATCTTAATTTTGATGGTCTAGCTGTAGAGAAACCAGGAACTCTGACTGTTTTTCTTTCAATTCAGTTAATTGGTATAATAAAAATTCACAACAGATATCATCTCAATGCACTTTATTCAAGAGACAATTCGGGTATTATTCCTACACATTTTCTATTAGTTCATTCCACATTTTATATTGTAAAAAGATGTGTAAAAAACTGCTTGGATATAAAGCCTTTTCTGATTCTTATGAAGTGTCCTCTTTCTCTTTTTGTCCCCACCAGTCGAAGGAACAATGAGCAAGCAATGTGGTTGACGTTGGGCATCAGGGAAGTAATCAAAGGCTGGGATTTAGGCCTACAGGACATGTGTGCAGGAGAGAAGAGGAAACTGGTAATACCTCCATCCCTTGCCTATGGGAAAGAAGGGAAAGGTAGTGAGAACTTACCCTATTTTCAATGCATGCTACTACTACTGCATGCTACTATTACTGCAATATGCTACTACACATGGTTAGTCTCTCTCCAAGTGATTAATGTATATTTCATAGTCATGTTTTCAATGGTCTTTCAATTGGCTTTACTCTGTGACATTCAGCTTTGAGTCAGCATGAAGCATGCAGACAGTACTGTGCTTTACTCGGGTAAGCACAACCTAAACTAATCAAAACCATAGAAGCTATCTCTTTTATATATATATATATATATATATATATATAAATATAACTTAACATCCATAATCTTAGCTGAGCTACTAAAACCACCTAATTACAATATTTTAAAGTAATTTTTTGATATATATATATATATATAAAACTTAACATCCATAATCTTAGCTGAGCTACTAAAACCACCTAATTACAATATTTTAAAGTAATTTTTTGATAATCTGCCTATTAAAACTGACTTGTCGCTATGTTATCTGTGATTAGGTAAAATCCCACCTGAGAGCACACTGACTTTCATGGTTGAATTGATGGAAATCAGAAATGGTCCAAGATCACATGAGTCCTTCCAGGAAATGAACCTCAATGACGACTGGAGGCTCTCCAAATTCGAGGTAAACACTATTATTTATTTTTTGTAACTAATATAGTCTACAGTGTCCTGAAAATGATTCAACCCTGACTTTTACTGATTTTCTATGCTTTTGCCTTTTACTTACTCAAATATTTCGCATGGACAAGGACAAAAACTAAACCTAGCTAGTCATATGTGAAGAAATAATAATTCCCACCTAAACCTAAGAGCTGGTTGTGTAATGCTTACAGCAAAACCTATATGACCGGATTTCTGTTAAGCATTATACTAAGCATTGTATTTTATATCAGTTCGTGGTTAGTTTAAATGACAAATATATATCATATCATTTGGAAATTACTCTTTGCATCAACGTTTGATATATTTCTCTGAACAGCTTTTTAGTTTAAACAAAAAAAGCAAAACAGAGGTGTGTAAGGGTATGAAAACTTTCTGTTGTAGTCCATAAGTCATCCATCCCTGTGGTAAACATATGTTTGTTGCTTGTGATCCTAATTTCCCTTTTTTCCTATAAAGATTCAACATAATCTATCAATACAGAACATTTATTTGTTTGATTTCTTACACATCTCATCTTATGTCTTTCACTCTCTAGTTAACCCATCACTTCCTCTATTTGCATCTTTTAGGTAAAAGAATATGTTAAGAAGGAGTTTGAGCGCTATGGCTACCCACCTAATGATACTTTACAAGAGAACATGGCGGCGGACATCTTTGAAAAAGAAGACAAGAACAAAGATGGCTTCATATCTTCAAGAGAGTTTACATACAAACATGATGAACTGTAACATCTTGGCTGGATTAGCTGTGTTGTGTATCTTAAGATACAAAGTTTCTCAGGTTATCTAAGCAGGACGCTTGATTGAAAAATGGAAAAATGCAGTTTCTAAAACTGGTTGGATCATATATTTTAAGTAGAATGATTTGTTTATAAAGTTTTCCAACTTTTCTAGACCATATTTGGAGCTAACAGTGTGAGAGTGTTGGCTCTTACTGATCCATGAGCTGTGAAGAGAACCAGGTCTTAGAAACCAAGAATTTCAAAGAAAGGAGATCATTTAGTTTTCTATTAAAACATAAGATCAGGAGAAGCTACCTGCTCTCTTCAGAAGTAATTCCACCCTTGAAAAGTGCTTTAAATGCAACCCTTCATTCACAAATTATTGACTTTTCTGCCATTGATGTAGATAATGTAAAGGTCTGATTGGAACTGTGGGTCAAATGACTCCAATGCATCTTAAAAAGTATATATTTTAAAGGTCTTTGTGGTGTTTAAAGGTTATTTTACCATAGACATTCTGTTTTTATTTGTTTTTCATTCTTTTTTACCCTGATAGGTTTTTAAAGGTAACATATTGAATCATTTTTTAAAGAGAAACTTTTACACTTTTCCCAAAAGGGGTTTCAATCTTATAACTTGAATTTGATTGTATATTAAAAAATATGTTAAATATAATACCATTCATTCTGTATTCAGCATTAAAATGGTATTAGTTTTATAAATTTTTTGATTATTTGTTTTTTTTCTAGAAATACAAAGGTGTGCCTCTTTGTTTAGCATTTCAAACCAGATAGGATTCTTAGTAAAGAGCCATGACACCTTTATCAAAGCCAGGTATTTAATATAACTGTTTGAAGCTGTCAACATGGTTTAACAACAAACTGTATGTACAATTCTGTAGATTTTTATACATTTCCAATACTTTTTCTTTCACTTCTTGACATCAGCCTTTGATAGCAGAAAGCATCAAATCAATAAAATAATTTGTCCCAACTTTAGTTTGCTGACACTTTCACATTTAACCAACAGGTGGCGCTGTCTTCTCAAAGGTTAAACATTGGGTGAGTGGTTTATAGCGAGAAAAACAGAACTCATTATTTACTGACAAAATATGAACATCAAACCCGCCATTTATCCCTTTCCCCACATGTCTGTCATAAACCTTTTTCTAAAAATGAAATGTTACATGACAACAAAAGGAAAACCAGTAAAAAAAAAAAGATTGCTAAATAAGCAGGTTGAGGATTGCCAGCAATAAAATTAAGTATTCATAAAATATGTTTGTTCTTCAATCCCATAATGCAGCACAACCACTAAAATGTGCCATTTTTTCCCAGTAAAACACTAAAAAGTTTAACCAAATTCATGATAAATTCTACATAAATGCAGCAAAGACTTATTTAGGTGTCTTTAAAAAGTTGCGCCTTTAAATGTAGTAAACAAAGTACAGATGAGGTAATGACAAAAATATTTTAGTTTCATTCTTCCAATAATGTAAGAATTTATAAAAAAGAAAAAAAGGGGGGGGGACTGTCCCTGGGGGGGGGGGGGATTGTCCCTGGACTTTATGTGTAGAGACTGCATGTAGATGGTTGAGCCCTCCTCCTCACACACATTGAAAACATTCCGCTGCCAAAAGGTCAGAGGTCACACAGTCAGTATAAGGCCCGACCCTGTTTCACTCCCTCATACAATCATGGAGTATTTGAAAACATACTGATCATAACTGAGTCTCTTTGGCTGTTTTGTGAGGATCTGGAGCTGTCGGACAACCGAGGAGGAGCATCTTAGGAGCACGAAGGAAACTTGAGGATCTATGACTCATCTAAGGTGTGTCCTGATCCCAGGTGGTTTGGGGTTCACTGAAAAAGAAAGCAAACAGATAAAAACCACAGTGAGCACTTGAAGATAGCGTTTGGAAAAATCCACAAGTATCAAGTATATAAAGTCATATTTTTTAGGCTGCACTTATATTTTCTGTGTGCTTTTTAGAGATTACTTTCTACTAGATCAACACAGTTACATGAAGTGGATGTAAATGTTGTTGCAAAATAGCTTTAAAACATTCAGACTGGTTGAAAGTGGCTATGATAAAGAACTCCGCTGAAGAAAAGGATTCACACAGCATGATGCTGCCATCACTGTGTTTCACAGCTAATTATCTGCAGTGTTATTCTTCCCCTCACAAATAGTTAAAAAGCATATTTGTTCACATGTTTGTTTTATACCCTACGGCAAACTAAAAGCAACAAGCAAAAAAAAAAAAAAAATACTTGCTGTTTTTCTTCAAGGACTATATTTTTGGACAATATACATTTTTTCCCACCTGGATTGCCAGTTAAGATGGGAGCCTATCTCTTGTTACCATAAGTTTGCAGCTGTTTTCAGTTTCTTCTTACAATGATGAACAAAATATCTTACGAGAGCTGGGAATATTTTTCTTAAACGTGATGCTGGTTCCAACCTCTCAGGTTTGTTGGTTAAAATTTAAGATCCTTTTTGTTTGTTTTTTTGTTTTTTTACAAACCTCTGAGAACATCACAGAAGATCTACGTATTCTAATTAGCCAACTTCTGAAGGCAGCTTTTTGCTTTGAGTTTTATTTAGGGGAACCAGAATTAAGAAGCATAGTACAAAAGAATGTAAGGAACCATTTTGATCCACAATTATACCCACGTTAATGATCCAATAACTTGCACTGTAGTTTGTGGATGTATACCATGACAAAATGTAAAAAAAATTGACATTTGCAAGGGACTATGAGCCTAGAGTTTCTACCTCTGTGTTCTTTACTTGGGTAGATCCGAGGAAAAGGCTTGAATTCTTCGGGTGGGGGGAGGTCTTCTATCGGGTGGAACTGGAACTTGGATTCAAAGTCTTCAACTGGAGAGAAAAGATGCATATAACTGTTAAAATGCAAGTTTTAATTAAATAAGACCCGAGTTCTGATTCTATAACATCTGGACACAGCCGGAACCTTCTTGCGGCAAGGCAGCCATGCTACCTGCTGTGGCTGACACTAATTAAATGCATAAACTTATTAAATCTATCTATAACAAATGCAGGTATCGTTTTGCAAAATAGGAACAATTATTTTTTTTTATAAAAAAAAACCAATGAAAACTTTTAAACCTCCATTTTTACAGGTTAAAAAAATAATTTTATGTTTTATCAAACATGTATAATGCCTAAACAGGGCAGATCTCTAACAGGTTCCTATTTACAAAACAAAGACAAAGCCAATATTCAGAGGTTTTAGAAAAATTAAGCACTCATCAGAAACACAAAATACATGAAAGGCACAGGAATCAAAAAGTATTGTACACTCTTTTTCACCCTCGATTTAATGTGCAGGGAAATACGGAAACTCTACCCATACTGTGGAGGTGTCCATTCCTGAGCATGAATGGGGGCGGAGGGGGAGGTGGTGGAGGGGGGAGAATGCGGGTGGACAGCTCTGTGGTGGGGGAGCGCGCCGGAGGAGCTGGAGGAGGAACCAGCAGCCGATCCACACCTGTCAGGGAGATGAGGCACGCCAATTAAGTGGTTTGATCTGACTAGTCACCATGCTACCTTCTAAAGCTGGCCAACACATGTCAAATATTTCTGTGACTTTCAGGTTACTCTGAGAAAATGCAGTGTTTTTCATAAACTCTCAAAACACATCCAGACCACAGGGTTATGTAACCCTGCTGGATTTAATGACAAGGTGTGAGAGCTGCCAGAGATTCCAACCTTCACAAAGAGCTGCTTCTGTTTGCTTACACAGAGAGAGAAATCTGAGGAGTTGATCCAAACCCTTTTTAATCCAAACGATTTTATGTTGCATCTTCCCACTGGTTTTACTTATGGCCCTTTATTAATGCTAAAATCCCTAGCAGTTGCAGGTTGGAATTGGGGACGTCTTGTCAGAGCATGTCAACAGTGTTGTACTTTTCCTGCGCTGACATAACAGATTACATTTTTAACACTGAGCATTTGTATCCTGCTTGTTTTTTATTCTCCTAACTACAGAGAATGTATTTCTTATTAAAAGCCATCCAATTGCTGGTATAATGAGGATAATGCAAACATTTTTACGATAAAAAGTTAGCATTTTATTTGCATTAAAAGGATATTCGGAGGGCACATAATAAACTGAACCGGGACAGTCAGAATCAGCCTATAGAAACTTTATAAGACTTCAGTGTAATAACCTGTTGCACCTGATGATTTATTTGATCCATTCTTTTTTCTATGATTATGCTACATGCAACAAGGGTTTTTTTTAAAAACTGCTATCTAAAGCCTTTAATATATTCCATATACGGTATAAATGTTTATGTGTAATTCTGTTGTGTTTTTTCAAACACCCCTTACACTATAGGGTTTTTTTTATTTTAACTTCTGGAATAAAAGAGAATGGAGAAGGAGGAGGTGCAATTAGCTTAGGATTTAACTGCCTTTCTGTTATTGTTTCCCCAAAATGTGACTTATATAGGTGAAAGCTGACAACTTTCCCCGTCCTATAAAACCTCTGTGTGCGGTTTTGACCCTCAGGTTATCTATAACAACCTGCATGATGCATAAAGCTGTAGACAGTAAAGTGGATATAAAAAAAAGGCTTCCCTGCTGACATCAAAGACACAATTTCACCACCCACCTAAACTTCTTGGCACAGATGGTGGCCGCCGAGTGGGAACGTTGCAAGGGAAGGAAGGAGGCAGGGAGCGCATGGCTGGTGAGGGCACAGGGGCCAATTTGGGTGGAGGTGGTGGAAGGTTGGTTGGGCAGCTTGGGGTTAAAGATGTAGGTAAAAGTGGAGGAGGCGGTGGTGGAGGAGGAGGTCCGAGGGGGCTGTCACGCAGAATAGGGAACCTACATGGTTCTGAGCAGGCAGCGACGGGAGGTGGAGAGTAGAAGAAGCAACCTGAGGAGCGGTCCCCTGGGATGGAGGAAGGAGGCGGGGGAGGGGGTGCAGAAGGATGGGCCACATATGAGTGGTGAGAATGCTGAACAGGTAGCCAGGTGGGTCTGGTGATCTGGGATGGAGGGGGAGGAGGAGGAGGGCAGGAGGGAAGAGACGGCGGTTTGCTGGCCGGTCGCTCCTGGAGGGCCTGAGGCGGAGGAGGTGGGGGAGGAACGGAGGGAGGGGCTGGTGGAGGCGTTGGGGGCGCGGACGCAAGGAAAGATGGCGGGTGTTTGCTGCTGTGAGACGGGGAGGGAGGAGCAGAAGAAGGAGTGAGGAGACGCTGGGAGGAGGTATGTATCTCTGCCGCCTTGTGAGACTCTGGAAGGCTGCTGGAGTCGGTTGGTGTAGGAGGATTCCACTGTGGCCTCAAAGAGGCAGCAGAGCTCGACCGGGACACTTTATAGAATACAGACAAGGAGGAGCATTAGGGTCATTAATAAACAACGGACGGGTCTATTAAGCATACAGTACAAAACCCACGAAAAAAATACTAAACCCACCTGGTGTCTTGCCTGCTAAGTCTCTATGACCTATAGGCCTGAGGGTGGGAAACCCTCCTGAAAAGAGTCCGCCTAAGCTGGGTCCTGTGGGAGCTATCCCAGCTGATGAACTATGAGTAGCAGCAGCATCTCCATTGTTAGGCTTAGGCTCTGCTACCAAAAACAATCATATATTATTAACATTTCATTAATACTATTTCATCAAATTCAATAAATATGATAGAACCCTGTTGATAGAAAATGATGAATTTACGTCTGCTCGTGGGATCAGATCTTAGTCCAATCAGAGGATCATAAATAACAAATATTGCCTAAACAAACAACATATTTCTGTTTTGCACTGTCTCAAAGCATTTTGTAACAATCAGTCCATTTCTATGTGCACAGCTGGTAAAATGACATTTAAAGCAGTGCAAATAATTAGTTAATTTAATAAAAATGTTTTTGAAAAGTGAAATTGTTTAGACAGAGATCAGAAATTACACGCAGTGTTTATTGGCCTCTGTGGGCATTCCTTACTAAAGTTTAACAGGGTCCAGTTTGTGGTAAGGTGTTTAAAAATAGACCACAGACACACATGACCCCCCTTAAACATTTGACCTACATATTCTTCTCCCCGTCTATCATCTTTCATGTCCTTCTTACATGAACGCATCACATCAGGTCATTTTAAAATAGACTCCCTATCAAACCTCCTCAGGATTGGAGGATAAGGTCGTGGGACTTACTATCAACTGCAGGGGCACTACGGTCATTGACCTGCGTGACCTTCCTGAGTTTGGCGCCTTTCTGGATGTCGGCCAATAGGGCATTCCTTCCACCTCCTCTGCCAGGCTGGAGCTGAGGAGGCTCTGAAGGAGACTGTCACACCGAAAGGAATACAGATGGGTCTTAAAACAGTAGTGGATGAACATCAATTGGAAAAACAATATATGGATTTTAAAAATGCTTTTGTGAACTTGTATTCAGGCAACAACTCTGGGCGTATCACCATGTGTAAATCTGAACACTGAATTTAGTCTCCAATGCAAAATGCCTTAAACTCAATCAGACTGAATGGAAAGCACTTGTAGCAGTTCCAGTCTTACTAGTGATTCTTAATTAGAATCAAGCCTGGCCATGTAAACATAATTAGTTATAAAATAACCTTGCTTTAAACTGCTGTGTGACTCGATTACTTATGTATCATTGGTCCTCTATGCACTATTTACTCACTACTGTTCAATAATAGCCTTCATAGAACAGCAGGATTTATACTATGATCAAATTACACACAGGTGGACTTTATTTATTGGATACGTTTAGGGCTGCAACTAGAGATTAATTTGCAAATCGACTATTTGTTGATAATTTTTTCAATTAATCATTAATAATCGAAAAAGCCAAACTTTTCTTGAAGATTCTTTACAAAAGTAAACCAGGTAAACTAAAACTTTTCTAATTGAGGAGTACTGGATAGAGCATATTGACAGACGACAAATGTTTTTTATCTTGATACAAAATGTTTATATATTTTTTTACAATTTTAATATGATATTTGCTCTAAGTGGGTTTCTCTGTCAACTACGGTAAAGGCATGTTTTACAATCTATACTCCATTTAACGATCAATGGATTACTAAATGAGTTGATGATCATTTAAATAATCAATAATCATGATTAATCCCATTAATTGTTTCAGCCCTAGATATATTACTTCTAAAAGTGCATTGTCATTTTAATAGATGTCTTGTATGTGCACAAAGAATCTGGCATTAAAAGCTGCTTAAGACTCAGATTCTACTTGCTTTTATACACGTGGAGCGTGAATTTAAATGCACTTTTTCAGCTAAACCATATATCCATTTTCATCCGCTTAAGTTTTTCTACTTTGTCATGGTGTATCATGCAAATGGATTACTTTTAGTTTGCAGTTATTAATGGTATAATCTGTATCAATGCATATTTAATTAGGTATATAATGATAATATGCAATAAACTCAAGTCCACCTTGTTAATGTGTAAAGGCAGAGAGGTATCTGGTAATCTTCATATTGTAAATCAAAAAGATATTGATACAAATATTTCAGGCAATAAGAAAATAAGCAAAGAGAAAAATGTTTATTCATCATGAAACTGTATACTACACACAATCAGGATGACTTTAGATTACTGAGCTGTTTCGTCACTGTGTACCATGCATCAGCACATTTGAAGAGAGGACACTGTGAGTCCACCATGGAAACATAACACCTTCCTGCCACCCAGAGACGGCTGCCTTACCAGATCTCTGTGTGTTTGTTTGCAGCAATCAATAATGCAAAAGCTGCATCTAAGTGTCAGCGATACGAACACGACAGAGAACAAACCAGAGGTAGAGAGGCTAACCTGTGGCAGGGAAGCGGAGGGCGGAGGTGGTGGAGGGGGACCTGGCGGTGGCGGTGGGGGAGGAGGTGGGGCTGGCATGCTGTAACTGCAGATACCTGCTGAAGACAATGCACACTTTATTACCGCAGTTCCTTTTGTACATCCAGAACATCCGATCTTTTTTTTTTCTGGTCATCTTAGGCGCGCTGTGTACATGAGGTCGTGGCTTATGACCTCCTGGCCTTTTTTCCTGGACGGAAGGACCTATAGCAGAAAACAGGAAACAGAAAGCACTCCATCCTTTCCACAGAAACCTGACACAACTCTCCGCCTCCTATCTAACTCTTCTTCCCACAATACCCTGTTGCTGGGCTTGTGGTGGAAACAATGGGGAGTGTTGTTTGAGAAGCACTGGACCCCTACCCTTCAGTCACTGTGTGAGCTCCCAGTTCAGTTAATGGAAGAAAAACACATTGAGGAAAGACTAGAGGAAGACGCCACACTGTACAAACATGGTGCTCCTTTTTTCTGAAAGTACTCAGCAGTTGTTACATCCAGGATGTCTTCTTATCAGTGACCCACACCAGCTGAGACCCATGAGGAACTCAGCAAGTTCTAACCAATGTTGTCCTGCAGAGAAATCTGCTCACTAAGAAACATTTTAGATAAGTCTAACTGCAGGCATCGTGATGTTTTTCTACACTCATCCCTTTCTGGAATTCACTCCTCCTCAACAATTTAATAAACGCAGAACAGAACCTGTATTGTTGTTAAACCAAATTCCCTTCTCCTCTGTTTCTATGCACAGTTTAAGCTCTGCATATGTTCGAAAAACACACAAATTGTTCAGAGTTTATTTCTATCTTCATATTAAGATGCTTCTTTGATTCTGCATGTTTAGATGTCAAAAGGGGGAAAGAGTTGACCTTGGTTAGCTGAGCAGGTGCTGCAGAGATTTTAAATATGCTATCTGCACCTGGCTTTCTTGTATTTCACCCATAAAGTTGTTTGGGCTTCCAGAGACTGAGAACAACACATGTGCCCGAGACAAGTAACCAGACTGTTTACAGAGTCGGTCTTTCTGTATTATAGTCAGATGAGATTCAAATTCAGCATTTTGACCCAATAGCAAAACTCTGTGTGTGTCAGAAAACTAAAAGTACCCCCTCCGCTTCCTATTATAAAGCACAGTGATGGCAGCACCATGCTTTTAGGAGCATTTTTTAGCACAGACAGGAAAGCTGGTTAGAGTTTAAGTTTAGAAGATGGTTGGAGCTTAAAACTAGGAAATACTGCAACAAAATCCATTAGAAGCTGTGAAAGATTTAAGATAGCAGAGATGAACTTTTCAATATTACAAGATTAACAGACAGATGAGAAACTGGAGGGTAAAATGCACAAGAATTGCCCAGTCAAAGACCAATTTCAATTCAGAAACTGAGCCAAGTTTAAAAGCTCATCTTCCCAGACATATTTCAAACAGTCTGATAAGTATGAGATGTTTTGCAAAGAGAAATATGCATAAGTTACAGTCAGAAAGGCAAATGCAAATGCATATTGTAAAATAATTATGTGAAAATCGTGTTTGATTGTCCTCTTTAAATCCAGTTTAAATTTGAGCTGGTCTACGTACTGTTAAATTGCAGAAGTGTGTGGCTGTAAGTAAAAACTTTTCTTTCATCAGATCTAAAATAAACGTGCATATGTCGGGTTTGCAGGAAAGAAAAAAAATCAAATTGTTAAAATAAAACGCATAATAATAAATATATCTTACCTTGCAAAAAAAAAAAAAAAAAAAAAAAAAAAAAAAAACTTTCTGCAGAGACTGCTTTAGGGCTGGTAAACTCAGCACAGAAGTTTCTTCATAGGTGCACAGTTTATAACGGAACTGACAGAGTTATTTTAGTCAGATGGACGCATCAGACCAAACGATTAATCCAATGTGGCTCCTGTAAACGCCTTTAAAAGAAAAAAAAACTATTTTTTTTTTTTAATCTCCTATCCATGTCCACCGTTGCATTACATGTCCAGTTTGTGCAGCACTGGTCCAGCTGAGCAGCAGTAGAGGTTGGTTTTTACCAAACGCGCACTGCAGGAGGCGCACATTACTTAGCCACACCTTAAAGCCACATAAACATAGGACCAATTGGAAGACATATTGCTTTGTCGCTTTCAAAAACACATAAGCAGTTAATTTAATTGTTTGTACCAATTTTTTAGGGGAAGACCAGTCAGTGGGGATTTAATTCATGCGAAATCATCCACTTTTAAAACAGTTTTAACCCTTTTTATCCTCTCTACCCTACTTTCGCAGCTATAGTATTACACAAATTCGCCCTCTTGCGTTGGAAATACGACATTACATCCCCTCTTCACTAAGAACATTCATCTAGAAACCATGCAGCTCGTTTAACCTGTTGAAATTTAATGACCGTGAGATAATTAATGCGGATCAAACTAAAAATACCATGTGATTTAAAGGAAACAATGCCTTATGACCCTTGTATGCACTTTATGCCAAAACACACCCTAAACCTTTGCAGATGCAAAGGAATGCAGAGACACAGGTGAGGTCCTCCTTAAAGCTGAGGGATTGACTTTCGCTGGAGGCTCTGTGAATAAATGATTTGTGCTTGCTGTCTCTCAAACTTACTTCAAAAAGACACAGTCACAAGACACTGGCATTTGTTCTACAAAATGGCATGATTTAACTGTTTACTTGTATTTCTGGGTTTGCTTTTATTTCCAAAGAGACCTAAGTGATGCTCTCTACCAAGATGAGAGGATTTAAAATAATAGTTATCCTCTATGTACTCAGCTTAAGAAACTCATCAGATTATGAAGCACAACCAGACACAGTGTTACAGTCAGCCGCTGCAGATTTATTTCTCACTTTGCCTTTATGCAAGGCATTCACAGATGATCCAAACTACACAGCTCCTGTTTACAAGATCCCCACATCTTTTTTTTTAATCTTTATCTGGGCATCAGAAGCACATTATTTTCAGTAGTTTTCCAACAAACTGTATAAGACATGCCTGATTTAATTCATCCTTCATAAAAAATACATTTTGCTCTTTGCTGGTAAGTGTTGTGCATTTCATTAACCTTCATTAGAAATCCTTCAAACTGCTCAGAGTCCATCGTTTTGCAAAAGCCTTGCAAAAGGTAGCATTATCCTTCATAAAAAAAATTAAAAACAAATAAAAATGATGTTTCAAATCATCACCATCATTTAAAAACAGTATTTTGCGGATACATTCATTATATTCAGAGAAAAATAGTTTTTGACTGCTTGTTTGTCATGATTTCATTAACTAGGATGGTTCAGGTCTAGGTTTTGGTCATTTCAGTGGGCATCAAGATAAATGAAGGTTTTTAAAACAAAAAATAAAGAAAAAAAAAGTAAAATTAAAGTGGTCTCAAGATCACAAAATAATTCCCCTGGTACCACTTACTATCATCCAACATCAGATTAATGAGGCCAGAGAAAGTATAGGATTGAGTTCTGTGTTAGCATGAAGTGCTGGCCCTCCCCAACTTGTTGCTGTTCACTGTAATTCATCTTGCTGAAAGTAGGCAACCGTGTTTGGTTTTATTTTCCCCACTTATGGAAAAGATAAATTTAGAAATTTCAAAACATTTCTGGCCACAAAGTAATCTGACAGTTTAGGCGTGTGAACTTAATAAGGAGCCCCACCCATAACTCTTCTGTCTAAAACTACAGTTGGAAAGTACCAGAGTGGGTTGGTTGTGGCCCGTCTGTGAATGCCTCCACACTGTAGTACTCACTGTTCAAGTTGCCAGTCTATTAAAACATGCTATACATTTCTGTTTCAAATTCTTATGTCAATAAAGTGATACGCACACTGAGTGCTTCCAATCTGGCCCGTACTCATAAAGGAAAGTGCTTTGTCATTTCTCTCATTTGTCCTTTAAGTCTCGTCTGTGGCATTCTGCATGCAAAATGGTTGAATAACCATTGTCAACAAGCATGCAAGCATTTGTAACACAACTCTACAAAATGCCCAATCATCTTAAAAATATATATTAGGTTATAGCTCATATTTAGAATTTGCATTATTGGGATAAACCAAAACAAACATCACCAACATTCTGTACAGTACAATGTCTCATGAAATCCTCATTGAAATCCCACTTCTTTTGAAGCAATGCAGTGAAGCAGTCTTTTTACACATGCAGCCCTCTCCTCAGGGTCACCGTGGGTCTTCCCTTCCTGACGCTGCACCCTCCCTTCCCTTCTCCTCGATTGGAAGAGTTGAACGGGGCCTCCTCTTCTCCTTGAAGCGTCCTGAGCGGGATATCTTCATGTTCCTGCGACACGTCGTGTCGTTGAACACCGACTCCAGCTTGGAGTCGTCGAAAGTTTCATCGCTGAGGAGGTTGGAGCCCTGCGCGGGAACGGTCTGATCAGTGGTCTTGGAGGCAGAAGATGGTTCTTTTTGCCAGTCTTGTTGCTGTTCCCAAGGGTTGAAGTTTGGGCACAATGAGTCTCCAGTCTTTTTTGTTTTTGGGATGAATACCTTCCACCACGGGGCCCTCTCTGTCATCTTGAACTGGTGGTTGGTTCTGTAAAAAGACACATTTTTAAAGTTAGCCTTATGGGTTTAGTACAGCTTAATTCCACATAAAAAATGCAGAAGATCTGAAGAACATCAGTACATACTGTATACATATGACAGTAAATAAAACCTTTAGTGTTGGATTTTTAAATTAAACCTATAAAACCACTTTCAGGTTTTTTTTTGTTTGTTTGTTTTTTTTACATTTTATATGTTAAAGTCCTTAAAAAATAATGAAGTCCTCAAAGAAAGCAGCTATTGATATTACCAGAAAACACCTGATTGGTGCATCTTTATACAGAACAATAATGACATCAATAATTATTATAATAACTAAAAAGGTATGATGTATTTTTTTTGGTTTTAGTTTTGGTTTAGTTATTATTAACAAAAATAAAATAACCAAAATAACCCCTATTTGTGCAAGATCTGCTCTTTCTTAAATTAAAAATAAATGCTACAAATTAAATAATGCTTGTTCATCTGCTTATTAATCCAAAAATTATGAAAGATAAAGATTGAAATGTTTAGAAAGACAAAAAAATAGCAACTTTACTGTACTCTTTTCAGCACTCCTGTTATCTGCTCTAAATCAATGTCTTGCCGCCTCACTAAACCCCAGACATGTATCGCCTTAACCTAACCTGTAGAAAACACAGTTTTGTTTTCAAAGAGTTCCTTAAACACCTCGTTTATACTAACATATGTCATTTTAAGCCAGGGTGGCCCAAATCTTACCCTGAGAGTTTTTACTATATTATTTATTGAGATGTTTTTGAGAAAAAAAAACTCAGCTAAACACAAATAAAGGATTGAAAGTTGGAATTGGATTTTTTTTTTTTTTATGAATTACAAAAAAAAAATAACTATAGATTGTTAGTTGCACTTGAAATGTATATTTTAAATAGCTTTAACTTATTGAGTTTATCTTTGCTATTATTTTTAAAAGTCTTTTTTATTCCCCAGTAAGCAAATACATGATCTGTATTAAATTCAATCATTTATGAACACTGATAGGATTGGAGGCCCTAAGCAACATCTCAGTTTGCTCTTCTTTAAATATCCTTTACAAAGCTGCACTGCTAAATTTGTGGACAGAAAAACAAATCAAGAAACAGATAAATTACCTTTATTTGTTCAATAATATACACACTAACCCTTGATTATTTATAGGGTATTAGTTTGCATGCTTTAATCAACAGATAGTTGTGTTGCTTTTGGTTTAGTTTGACATATTTCACAATTTTAACTAGGATGTATCGACTGATCAGAGAAAAACTGGCCAATTCTGAACACTTTATCTATATTTACCAGAGCTCAGAGAGAACTTTGACACTCTGCATCAGAGCCAAACCTTTCCCTTAAAACACAACAAATCTCAGGCCAAGCTCATCTGTCATGTCAACACTGGGATATTTTCGCTCTGTGGGACCAAGTTTCACCAGCCAAACCAATGAATAACCTGTGTAACCATATTTAGCCTTTCTGTAAAACTGGTTCAATGAGTTTTGAGAACAAAAGCAAACAAATCACAATGAGAATCACATGTTGAGATAATGCACAGGTGAAAATATAAATACATTAATTTAACCTTACCTGAGATATAAAACAATATGGTGACAGTCTAATGTACCCAAACCGGTGGGTTAATATTAGGTAAGTAGTGCTAAAATATCCCCAGATTTAGGATGATGGTATCGTTTCCTTCTTGGAGCGCAGACCAACAGTGACAACAATCCTTTAAATGGTCGATGGGCAATCCATTCTTTAGCAGAACAGTCCACAGCCCTGCACACCAAACCACCAGCCTCTCTTTTATTCAACACTTCTCCTTCTCTCTGACAACTCTGGAGTAAAAAGGACAAACATATTTATAAGGAGCGGCTTCACCTCCTCTAAACCAGCAAGTTTCCACCCGAAACTTCATCTGGTAGCACCTGTTCTCCCCGCCGATTGGCTGAGCCGAGCGGGGCGCGTGAGAACAGCCCAGGTGAGTCCAGAGTCGAAGTGGGCGGGGCCTACGGTTGCTTGGTAACATACCCCATGGGAGCTAGCGCCTCTTCCGCGGAAGATAACGCACAACAAAAAAAAAGGAGTCCTTTGTATCAGGTTTACCCAACCCATGCCGGGGAGCCAAATTATGTTTAGGCTGTTGCTGGTTATACAAAGGAGTGGAGCAGAGTGGCGAGAATTTAATTCTTTATTCAGCAGGGGGTTATTTACACTGCTCTGCATAAAAACAGCCTACATTCAGGAAACTGGAGCTTATATAGATAACTTTAAAAGGTTAAAAACTTGGTGAAATAGCCTACTTTGAAAATCAAAATGTATTACCTTTGTAACATTCAAAAACATGGATATTTTGATGGCAAAAAATGAATGTCAATTTAGTAAAAAGAAAAAATAACAAAAGTGCTTCTGTAAGAAATTTACCTAAGTTAACAATTATATATAATTGTTAACT